TATAAAAATTGTATAACATTGAAGATACTAAATATTGGTTTGGTTCTTTTATTATAAAAAAAAAAATAAAAAAGTATAATTTTCAATTGAAAAAACTAGATTCGACTCTATATAGAATTAACTCTGACAAAACTTGTGCAATATAATAACTTTACTATGTTTTGTCCTAGGCAGCAAACATTAAAAAGCTATAATTTTCAAAGAAAAAATAAAGATAATAGCACTTTATTGACTCAATTAGACGTTGTCCGATTAAAAAACAAAGATAATTATTTATTGATGAAATATGGTAAGAAACTACATTTATCGTTTAATACCAAATTCAAAAAGAGAAACAACAATAATAATTTATTGATCAAATCCAACAATAAATCATATTACATATATATTATTTTTTAGTTAACTGGTTATTTAAAAATAATAAATAGAATAACGAGTGTGTCTACAATTGAGAAGACTATTGAAAAAAAGTAGCCAAAACCTATTATTAAAAAATTAAACATGGATAAATTAAATCTTCACAAAAGATCTAGTGTGAAATTAAGTAAAAAATGAAGTATGAATATTTGAAATACTATTTATGGTCCAAATATGATCTGCATGGTACAAGAAAGTATGTAGCTCTTGCTAAGTAGGCAAAGTTGTTGAAATTGCATCCAAAAATGTAAAAAAAAAAAAAAAAAAAAAAAGCTCCATCGCATATTACATGCATTATCATTGAAATAGTAAAAGCAATCTAAATCCAAAGTTGAATGGTAAATTATTCGGTTCAACATATTTTGAATAATAATAGTAAATATTTTAAAAAATTAATCAGAAATAACTTTACAAATCTGTCAAAAATTTGTATAAATTATAAAAATAAAAAATATCTAGGACAAACAAAATAAATGACGAAAAATTGAAAAGAAAATAGAATGACATGACCGAGAGACACTACAAGAAAATATCATTTTTGTAACGAGATTTTTTCGTCTTTAAATTCACTTTTTCCGTTACTAATGATATTAGAGACGAAATTAATGATGGAATTACGTTAGCTATGTGATCTTTAGTGACGGAATTCCGTTACAAATATACTATTCTTTTGTAGTGAGAGTTATAGAAGAAGAGCAGCAAAATAAACAATATTGGTTGATTAATTTTAACTTAATGAGAAATATGTTAATAAATTAATTTATTGATTTAATTCAAAAAGAAATACTCTAAAATTTTGATCTGCAATACAATACAATATTGTATGTAATGTATTATTTTTTTATATTAATCCATAATAGTATTGATAATTTTATGTTTGGTGAACATAATACGGATTCTATACTAGTATATGTATATATATATATAATACTTACAATAAAACTATTCTATGTCTATGGGATTAGTATTCTTATACTAATATTTTATATCATCTTTTTTGGTAATAAAAAGTATTACTCCCTAGGTCCTCAAGCACCGGACAACATTTGATTTGGACATGATAATTTAGATGACTAATATTAAATAGGATATTTTGAAAATTATGTGATATAATGATAAACAAAAATGTATATATTTATTTATTTTTTATTTGGGTTATATGATGAATAAAGTGTTTAATAGAGATTAAAAATATTTAAATTTTTTTCTAATTTAAAAATATTGTAAAGTGTTTGAGAGAGACTAAAAAAAATGTTACATAGTATTTGAGACGGATGAAGTACAATATATTTTAGAAACGAAGAATGCAATTAATAAAATTATAACTGTTGTATTATCCTCTAATTATAAATTCTATTAACGAATTGGGTGAGTAGGTTAAGCATTAAAATAAAATGTTTTATCCTATTTATTATTTAAAAGGTGGTTAAAAATTTTATAATATATTAATTGTGAAATTTTTCTTATAATATATATATATATTTATATTAAGTCATATAACAACCAAAATTTTACTGATGATTTCTCTACCTTTTAATTTATGATTTTGAGTTGAGATTGCGACCAGCCGGTGAGGTAACAACAGAACAGTCTGGCATCAAGAAAGCACTATTCAACTTTTTAGACAAGAGGAAGGAATTAGTGGTACAATGAGGTGGCAGTGGCACTAGAAGTGGCGGGGACCTCACTTAGCCCCATCAATCTGTGCCGGAGAATTCCCGGATTGAGGTAGATACCACTCTTAGGTTGGGTCATCACTGGGCAATTTCATCTAGCCCAGAAAGAATGACTTGGAACTCCTTTGTGCATCCACGAGAGCAAGTAGCGGGCCGCATGAACGACAGAGACCTCAGCCACGGCAGCAGCGGGAAGACCTGACAGACTGCCCATGGTGTGAGAGGACATTTGTCAGCCGCTTTGCTTTAGCCGCACACAACAGGTTTTGTCGCCTAAAGAATGAAAAATTAGAAGCGATGGCTGGAAGAAAGGAGGAACTGGAAATGGCCGGTCTGAATTTCGATCTCAATCAACTTCCATCGGAAGCCTATAGGTCACAGGCAATCGTAGAGTTGTTGCACCTTCTAGGCTTAGCTTAAAGTATGTATTTGTAAATCTTTAATAGTTTTTCAATTTTCAGTTAATTGAATAAACATATTTCTAAACTTTATTTATTTTAAAGGTTTTTTTCAACAAATATAATTTTGTTTAGGTCAAAGTAACAAAATAGCTATGTGTCCAATTGTATGTTTTTTTAGTTGTTGTTTTGGTAATAATATGTTTACTTCTACAAGGAATAAAAAAAAATAATCTATCTCTCATTGCAAAGTAAATAATTATTTTAATCCACGACTAAAAATAAAAATTGTATAACATCGAAGATATTAAATGTTGGTTCAATTCTTTGACAGAGAATTAACTCTCGCAAAACTTGTGCAATATAAATGAGATATTGATTTGACTAGGTTGTATCCTTGGCAACAAACATTAGAAAAACGACAATATCCATTTGATATAATTTTTTCTAAAAAAAAAAGAAAAAATAATATCACTTTATTGAATGAATACGACTTTGTCCTATTAAAGAACAAAGATAATTATTTATTGATCAAATTTAGCAAGAAATAACAATTATCGTTTAATACCGAATTCAAAGAGAGAAAAGACAATAAAATTTAATTGATCACATCTTCAGGCAAATATTTTCTTTCAAACAAGTCTTTTCAAAATAAATTTAAATATTCAATTTAAAAATCATCCGTTTAAAACATAGTTGTTTGTCTTAATTAAATTGTTGGAGTAAGAAAACGAAATATATATATATAGGGTGTGTTTGTTTGTAGTTTTTAGTTTTTGGGTTTAGATTTTTTAATAGTAAAAAATTGAATTTAAATAGTTATTTTATGTGATATAAATAGAGGTTAATGTGATGGTTTGAATATAAAATAAATTTGTAATATAATATAAAAAAATAAAAGTAATTGTTTGATATGATAATTTTGGAAAAAAAAAAAAAAACAGAATCCTAATAGTGAAAATATGTGGTAAAACTATTTTTTTTTACGTGAAAACCTTTATATTTTTTCTTTTGTCGATAGGAGTAAGCGACACACCCTTTTACCACTCCCACTACACACAGGGAACAACAGCCGGCGAGCAATCGACGTCAACCGGACAATTGGAGGTGAGGCCAAAGGGCATAGAAGACCATGGACGCATGTAATACCGACTGACTTTCCGACAATTATGTGGCTAAACACATATGGATTAACTTTTAACGGCCGATTTGAATGCCGCTAGGGCGGGGGTACCCACCAGGAAAATGACCGATTCAATCGCCGGAAATGAGAGGACGAAAAAGAAGAAGACGACCCAAGTCGATTTGAGATTGGGCATGGTGAAAATTTGCAAAAATGTTTAATCCATATACGTTTATATATTTTCATTATCCAAAAAGCTAAATTGCACAAAATCCATGTGTGATTTTACGAAATTACGTCCAATCTCCGTACTTCTAAAACTGCGTCAAATTTCTTCGTGGTTTCATAAACTCTGCGTGTAACCCCTCGGCGGTCCTTATTTAATAGTATTTGACCTAAATGCGCCGAAACTGCGAATAGATTTTAGAATTTTCATTTATAAATACCTAAAATTACAAATATAAAAAAAATCTTAAAACCGAGAAAAAATAACTATTTTTTAATATATTTACTATTTTTCTTAGGCTAAATATAAAAATATATATATTTGTAATTTTAGGGGTTTAAAAATTGAGATTATAAAATTTATTCGCAATTTGAACTCATTTATGTCAAATACCATTAAATAAGAATCGCGGAAGGATTTGGAGGAAACCATGAAGGAATTTTGAGCATTTTAGAAGGTAAGAGATTTGAAGCAATTTTACAAAACTATTTGTATAAAATTATTATTTTTATTAAAAAAAATTATTTATACAATACAATCTATTTTCTATTTCATAAAATTTTATTTTATTTAAAAAATATATATACATACGTATATATTATATTATACTTTTACACAACATAATTACTTATCTATTATCAAATCAATAAAGGGTGTGTTTGTTTGGGGGTTTGGATTTTGAGTTGGGATTTGAATAGTAAAAATTTTGAATTTGAATAGTTGTATGATGCGATATAAATAGAGGTTGATGTGATGTTTTGAATGTAAAATTAATTTTTAGTATAATATAAAAAATGAAAAATAGATATTTGATTTGATATTTTTTGAAGAAAAAATTAAATGAATAGTAAAAATTTTGCAAAATCTTGCAAACGAACACACCCAAACATGACCCACAAACTCGCAACCCAAAACCAAACCAAACTAAACCCAACCCACTAACCTAAAAAAACAAAAAAATCCAAACCCAAACCAATATCTCCCGAACCCACTCAAAAGAAACACAACTAAGTCAACAAGCTCTACCGTATTTTGATGTATTAAAATTTTCACTTTTGACTATCTGTCCCCACATATAAATTTATTTATTTGTATTTCCATGGATGAGAAATCTGTACATCATCCCCTTTCCTGTTATAATTTTCTACATATTTCTTCATCTCTCGTTTCCAGATTTATTTGTACAACAGCAAGCACTTTGAAAGTCAACTCATGGCAGCATATGCAGCTCTGCTATCAGTTACATCTCTGATAGACCAGATCCAAAATCATCCCTGCAGCCCTCCAATTACTCTTGATGAAAACGATATTCTTGTTGCATCTCTCTCCACGAGCATCACCTGCTTGAGAGAGTTTCTTGAGTCCTATTATTCCATTTCCCGCATCGAAGAATCTTCTGGTGAATTAACTGAAAGGCTGGAGAGGAGAATAGCAGATGTGGCCTATGCTGCTGCAGATCTGATTGAATCCCACATACATGATCAGGCATCAGGGATCGAGATCGATGATCACTTCGATGAAAATCTACACCAAGTAATAGATCACATGTCATCTATCGCCATGGAGACCAAAGAGAAGCAGCTGCAGTACCAACACCTCATCATCAATGATAGTTTCGAAAGACCAGCTCCTTCGACAGGCCTAAAGTCGACGTCAATGGTGGGGTTTGATGATGTGTTCAATGAAGTCCTAGACAAGCTCATGGCCGATCAATCTAATCGCCGCATCATCCCCATTGTTGGCATGGGCGGTATTGGTAAGACTACTCTCGCCAGTAATGCTTATGAAAACCAATCTGTTGTGCAACATTTTGATGTTCGTTCGTGGGTCGTAGTTTCACAAGACTATGATGTGCGCGATATTCTTTCGAAAGTTCTTGTCGATCTAAATAAAGGAGAGAGAGGAGAAATGTTGCGCAAAGTGAGCGAAGAAGAAGTAGGAGAGAAAGTACACAAAAGCTTATTCGGTAGACGATATTTGATTGTGTTGGACGATATGTGGAGCATTCAAGTATGGAATAAGATAAGTCGTTATTTTGTCGAAAACAACAATAGGAGTAGAATAATAATAACAACTAGGTTATCAAATGTTGCATCAGAGCTGTCTCACAATAAGGTTGTGATGGATTTTCTAGACGATCAAAAGAGTTGGAATTTACTTTGCAATGTTGTGTTTGGGGGATCAGAAACTTGTCCTTCTGAATTGGAGGAAAGTGGGAGAAAAATTGCAATGGATTGCAAAGGGCTCCCTTTGTCGATCATTGTCATGGGAGGAATCTTAGTAAAGTCTACACAAACCCGAAAAGATTGGGAGTTTATTGCCGATAAATTGAACTTGAGTATAGCCTTAGAGCGCGAGGAGCATTGTTTACAAATATTACGTACGAGTTTTGATCATTTGCCGGTTCATCTAAAGCCATGTTTTCTATATTTGGGAATTTTCGCCGAAGATAAGGAGATCAAGACTTCTAATCTCGTTAAGCTATTGGTTGCCGAAGGATTTGTAAAACCAATCTTCGGTAAGAGTATGGAACTAGCCGCCGAAGAGTATATAATGGATCTTGTCGATAGAAATCTAGTTTTAGCTACGGTTATAGGATCTACTGGGAAACCAAAGGTTTGTATTGTTCATGATCTTGTCCGCGACCTTTGCATAAGAGAAGCAGAAAGGCAGAGGTTTCTTTGTGTTGCAAGGAAAAGTAATCTCAGCGTTCCACAAGGTATAGATGGCCATCGCCGTGTTGCCATTCATCGAAGCACATTGAAAGATGAACATCTTCTTCTAGTTCTCGATGCCTTGAGACCAGCATCGCGTGTTCATTCAGTAATGTGTGATATTATTGGTGTTTTCCCACGTCCTCCTTCAAGAACGCTGAGAATATTGAATTTGACTAATCGAAATTCTTTGGATTCAAGACAATCCGAGTGGTTCTTTGAGGATGTTCTTAGGTCGGTTAACTTGCGCTTCCTGGCCTTCAATCCTCATTTGAGCCGAGAGTTCTCATTTTCCTCTTCAATATACCTTCTCTGGAATTTGCAGACATTGATCATTAACAAGGATTTCTTGACGCCATTCGAAATTTGGAAGATGCCTCAGCTCAAACATGTCAAGGTCACTCGCCTTTGCCTCCCGGATCCCCCCTCGAATGGTCATGTTCTAGCGAATCTACAAACTTTATCTTGTGTTATTAATTTTAAATGCGACGAAGCTGTGGTTAAGAGGATCCCTAACATCAGGAGACTGAAAATTGCTTACGGCGATGTGCTTAAGGGAGGATGGTCCAAGAATTACTATCTTAGTAATCTTGGACGTCTACAAAAGCTTGAATCATTTTCTTGTTGGTTCAGTTTATCGACTAATAGTCCAAGTAGAAGTGATTGTTTTCAGAAGATTTCGTTCCCAGAGTCTCTTGTAAAGTTGGAAGCGTATTCCTCACCCTTTTCTTGGGAAGAAATAACAACGAATATAGGCGCATTGCCACATCTACAAGTGCTCAAGCTGAAGTTTGGTGTCCGAGGACGCGAGTGGAACTTAGTTGATGGTAAATTCCGAAGCCTGAGATTCTTGTTGATTCATGGAGTTAGGCTCAAACATTGGACAGCAGAGAGCCAACAGTTTCCAAGACTCGAGCGCATTTCTCTTGCGCAATTGTACGAGTTGAAGGAGATACCTCTCGGCATTGGAGATGCACCGAAACTCCGATCCATTGATATGGAGTATTGCCATGATTCTGTGGTGATTTCAGCTCAGGAAATATTAGACGAGCAAGATGAGCTTGGGAATGCAGGTGGCCTTAAAGTTCGAGTATTGGCTCCTTTGGCTCGCCGTTTCGTCGAGCTGCGCCCCAACACTGCAGTTGATTTGGATTTGTAGTGCGCACACTACAAAAAAGTTGAAATTTAACTACAAAAAGATTTCATAGAAAAATGTATAAATTCATAGCAAAAATATTTTGGCGACAAAACTTATTTTGTCGCCTACACAGCGTTAGTAAAAGTCTTTGGCTACAAACATGACTTTCATAACAAAAAATAATTTTTTTACAATGAAAGTTAAGAAAAGAGATATAGATATAAAAATAAAATTTTGTAGCTAAAGTCATTTTGCTATAAAATTAAAAGTCATAATAAAAGAGTTTTATCAACAAAATATGTATAATTTTTTTAGGCAAATGGTTTTAGCCATGAAAAATAATTTTGTAGCAAAAACTTTTTTGCTATGAATATATAATTTTTTAGCAAAAGAATTTTAGCAACAAAAATAATTTTGTAGTACGTAATTTATTTTTGGCTATGAAATTAATTTTTGTGCTAAATAACACGTTTTAACTACAAAAATATTCCGTAATTAAAAGTATTACAGCTAATTAGATTAATGGCGCGTCAAAATGTGTTCTTGTTGAACAAGACAACTGTGCTTTGCTACAAATTTTGTGTGATTGTTTAATTTGCTAAGATCTAAGTGGTATATATAATTTTACCTTAAGACTTCTTTTGAAAATGATTATGATTCAACTTTGATTTCTCAATCTTACATTATGTATATTCTGGAATTAGAATTTCTACATATTTATCTAATCCCATAAATGAGACCTACATTATGTACATAAAGAAAACACAAGCTACTTTTCTAACACTTATAAATCATGACCATTACTAAGTTAGTTATGCTATTTTGTTCCATGGAATTCAGTCACTAAAATTCCATATTAGTAGGTGAGACTTAGTCATCACCATGACTAAGTTGTCTATACAAATATGTTCCAAGTTTGTGTCACATCTCATCACTTGTCATTACTCAATTATGTTGAAAATAGTTTCTTCGACCATCCCATCACTTGTCATGACTTAATTATGTTGAAAATAGTTTCTTCGAGAGCATAGAATCCATGCGTCTCATCGTTGAGTTCACAAAAATAAATTACATTCCCCCCCCCCCCTCATTTTAACATAATCATTCATTTATTCACAGAACAAATCACAATCATTAGAAATATATTCATGCATAAATGAAAATATCTCAAATATTGAATTTTTACATTAGTATATTACACATTACAAATATTCTAGAATCAATGTGTCTTTATAATTTAACCTTGCAACTTATTTGAATATATGTAGGGAGCATACACATGAACTTACAATTCCCTTGGTTCTAACATAATATTTTACAAACTATGTGTCCATATCCATTCACAAACACATCAAAAGCAAGTCCTAACTTTTTTTAAGCGGCAATACTTCATACTACTATGTGTAGCTCATTTAATCTTTCTCCATTACAAATTATATTTTCAAATAAATTATTAATAGATAAGATCTCAACCTATGGTCTTACAGGTCTGAGTGCATACCCGAAATATTTTGAGAAAATTGCATTCCAATCTCCAAAATATAAGATTTTAACATTGAAAATTCAACTTCTAACATCATACTATACGCGATTGTGTGTCTCATATGAGGGAGATTTAGTCAGACATCAATGCCATCCCAATTGAAGACTTGTGCACTAAATCTCTTCCTAACCTTTATGTCAAACATGGAGCTAGATTATATTGCGACCGATCAAACTCAACCGATATCACCCCATTCATGATTAGCTTTTTACACGAATCATGCCTTTGTCTTACACTTATGTGTTGAGATTTACCGTTGTAGACTTCACTATAAGCTTTAGACATCATTGAAGCATTATCACAATGAATATAGACGGATGATACCGGTTTTGGCCATAATGAAATCTCATATATAAAGTTATGAAGCCATTCAACTTTCTTTCCAGTCATGGCTAATGCCACAAATTTATTCTATTTTTCGAACTTATGATGCATGTTTGCTTCTTGGAAGCCTAACAATGACACCTCCCTAAAGTAGAAACGTCCATCTAGAGGTGGAAGAGCAATCTTCTACATGGGTTATTCACCTTGCGTCTTAGTACCCTTCTACAATTGAAGGAAAACCAATATACGACAAGCCATAACTCATAGTTAACTTCAAGTACTCAAGTAGTACTTTTTTAAGTACTTGCCAATGGTATTTACGTGATACCTCCATAGTTGAATCGGTGCTAGGTCAACTCCGGTGTATGAATGAGCCGGTGCTACCAAAAATCATAATGATCTGGGGCTTTATACCCGACCGATCAATGTGATCAATTTTTTCCATTCTATAAAAATATAAAGGTCATCACGTGATGACAGTAACTCTTGAAATAGTTTGACGGAGGGTTTGGGGAAATATACAATTCAGCCGTAATACATATTCAAATATGCCAACATCTTCAACAGTGGTAACAGTCTTTGTAACTAATAGACTAAAGTATTTTGCACATCACATTCGAAGGAACCATGTCGGACCAGAAAATTCTTCATGTGGAACTCCTTGTGCATCCACGACACCAAGTAGCAGGCAACCATGAACGAAAGAGACCCAAACCACGGCAACAGTGGGAAAAGCTGACAGACTGCCCATGGTGTAAGAGAACATTTGTTAGCCGCTTTGTTGTTGCCGCACACAGTAGGTTTTGTCACCTAAAGAATGGACAATTAGGGGGATGGTTGGACGAAAGGAAGAACCACTGTTGATTTGAATTTTGACCTCAATCAGCTTCCGCCTGAAGCCTATGGGTCAAAAGCAACCGTAAAGTTGTTGTACCTTCTAGGTTTAGCTTAAAGTATGTATTTAGAAATTTTTAATAGTTTTGTCAATTTTCAATTATTGAATATATATATATATATTTCTAAATTTTATTTATTTTACAAGACTTTCTTCAACAAATTAATATAGTATTTTTTTCAATTAACTAAATAACTATCTATCCAATTGTATATTGATTTTTTTTTTTAATAATATGTTTACTTTTACCATTTAAAAGTACAGTGCATAAAGCAATTTTTCATTTATTTCAATATAATTCAATGAACAAAAAAAATTCATCTGCCTCTCGTTGCAAAGTAAATGACAATTTTAATCCACGACTAAAAATAAAAATAATATAATATTAAAGATACTAAATGTTGATTCAATTCTTTATTATATAAAAATAATCTTCAATTGCGAAAGTTAGAGTTTAATTGACTCGATATATAGAATTAACTCTGGCAAAACTTGTGCAATATAAATGAGATGTTGACTTCACTAGGTTTTGTCCTTGACAACGAACATTAAAAAAATGACAAAATCTATTTATAATTTTTAAAGAAAAAAATATATATTATAGTACTTTATTGACTCGATTGGACTTTGTCTCGAAGATAATTATTTGTTGATCAAATTTAATAAAAAACGACAATATCTTTTAATACCAAATTCAAAGAGATAAACGAAAAATAGTTATTTATTGATCGAATCCAACAACAAATCATATTATATACATATTATCTTTGTCATAAACTTTTATTTAAAATTAGTGAAAAGAATAACCAGTGCGTCCACAATTGAGAAGAATATTGAAAGAAAGTAGCCAAATCCTATTCTTAAAAAATGCAACATGGGTAAATTAAATCTTCACAACATATTTAGTGTGAAATTAAGTAAAAAATGAAGTATCAATATTTGAAGTAGTATTTATGCTTTTTGTCCAAATATTATCTGCATGATGCAAGAAAAAATTGTAGCTCTTGTTAAGTAGGCAAAATTGTTGAAATTGCATCGAAAAATATCCGTTACATATTGCATGCATTATCATTGAAATTGTAAAAGCAATATAAATCCAAATTTGAATGATAAATTATTCAGTTCAACATATTTTTAATAATAGTAAATATTTCAAAAATTAATCAGAAATAATTTTACAAATCTGTAAAAAATTGTATAAATTAAAATAATAATAATAAAAAAATATGTAGAACAAACAAAACAAATGACGAAAAATCGAAACCAAAATATAATGATATGGACGAGAGAGTTAGAGAAGAAGAGCAGCAAGATAGACAATAATGGTTAATTGAGTTTATTCGTAATGTGAAATATTTTAATAAATTAATTTATTGATTTAACTCAAAAAGTAATATTCTAAAACTTTGATTCAGAATATTATACAATATTGTATGTAATGTATTATTTCTTTATATTAATCCAAAATAGTATCGACAATTTTATATTGGGTAAATATAACACGGATTCTATACTAGTATATGTATATATATATATATAATACTTACAATAAAACTATTATATGTCTATGGAATTAGCATTCTTATACTAATATTTTATATATTTTTTTTTAGTAATAAAAAGTATTACTCCCTCCGTCCTTAAATACCGGGCAACATTTGATTTGGACACGATAATTTAGGTGAATAATATTAAATAGGATAATTTGAAAATTATGTGATGTAATGAGAAACATAAGTATATATATTTATTTATTTTTTATTTGGGTGATATGATGTGATAAAATGTTGAGTATAGATTAAAAATATTTATTTTTTTCTATTTTAAAAATACTGTAAAGTATTTGAGATGGACTAAAAAGAAAATATTACATTGTGTTTGAAATGGATGCAGTAGAATATATTTTAGAAACAGAGAGTGCAATTAATAAAATTATAATTGTTGTATTATCCTCTAATTATGAATTCTATTAACTAATTAGGTGAGTAGGTTAAGCATTAAATAAATTGTTTTATCCTGTTCATTATTTATAAGGTGGTTAAAAATTTTATAATATATTAATTGTGCAACTTTTCTTACAATATATATATATATATATTAAGTCATATAAACAAAAAATTCACTGGGATTTCTCTACCCTTTTAATTTATATAGTTTGTTCACGTGAACAAAAAATTACATTTCATCAAGATTTATTCATTAAAAAGAATATCATTAACATAATATACATGGATAATATTGATCTTGAGTTGAGGTTACGACCTGCAGGTGAGTGTGTAGGTGATAACACAATAGAACAATCTGGCACCAATAAAGCACAACTCAACTTTCCAAACATGGGAAAGGAATTAGTGGTACAAGGAGGTGGCAGCGGCAGTGGAACTGGCGGGAAATTCAATGAGCCTCATCGATCTGCGCCGAAGAATACCCCAAGTGAGGTAGATACCACTCTTAGGTTGGGTCTTCACTGGCCACCTTCATCTCGCCAGGAGGCAATAACTTGGAACTCATTCCTTGTGAGGCCGCGAGTCCAAGTAGCGGGGCTCCATGAACGACAGAGATCCCAACCACGGCAGCAACGGGAAGAGCTGACAGACTGCCCATGGTGTAAGAGGACATTTGTCAGCCGCTTTGCTGTGGCTGCACACAGCAGGTTTTGTCGTCTAAAGAATGAACAATCAGAGGCGATGACTGGAAGAAGGGAGGCACCGGAAACAGCCGGTCTGAATTTCGATCTCAATCAGCTTCCTCCGGAAGCCTATGGGTCACAGGCAACCGAAGAGTTGTTGCACCTTCTAGGCTTAGCTTAAAGTGTGTATTTATAAATTTTTAATAATTTGTCAATTTTCAGTTAATTGAATAGATATATTTCTAAACTTTGTTTATTTTAAATGTTTTTTAGGTCAAGTAACAAAATAGCTATGTGTCCAATTGTATGTTTTTTTTTTTTTTTTTTGGTAATAATATGTTTACTTCTACAATTTAAAAGTGCAGTGCATTTTAAAGCGGTTTTTCATTTATTTCAATATAATTCAAGGAACAAAAAAATGTACATCTACCTTTCATTGCAAAGTAAATAATTATTTTAATCCATGACTAAAAATAAAAATTGTATACCATTCAATATACTAAATAATTATTTTAATCCATGACTAAAAATAAAATTTGTATACCATTCAATATACTAAATGCCGGTTCAATTTTTATTATATATATATATATAAATTAATTAACTCTCGCAAAACTTGTG